CAACCTCAGGTTCCTCCTCCTGGGAGGGACCCGGGCGAGCCTCCGCGGAGGTGGCATAAGCAGCGCGGCGCTCTCTCTCCTCCCCGGGGAGAGAAAGGCACGCCGCACACGTCGCCGCTTCCCGGTGGTGGTGAACTCCCAGGCAGAGGAAGCAGAACTCGTGCCGGTCTTTGCGGTGGAGCTTGGTCCGGCAGCCACCGCACCGTCTTCGTCCAACGCCGGATGGCGAAGGAGTTCTCGGACGAGGAGGAGTAGACATCGCGATCTTCAATGGTGAGTAGAACTTCTCTCAATGGCGCCAGAGTTCAAAGTGAAGAGCATGGACTGCTGTGGGCTATTTATAGGAGGTTCTGCACAGTGATTGGAGCATTGAGTTCTCTCTGGCGGGAAGCTGGTGCTTCTGGAGTCATACCCAAAGCGAGCCTAAGGGGCGTAGCACTATGAAGTAGAACTAAACAAGTTGTTGTTTAGGGCGGTTCGATTCCACCTCCAGACTTTTCTGTGTGGTGTTGGTATCTTCTCCCTGTGTCTGAATAGGTTTTCTCCAGGTATTACGGTTTCCCTTACCACTAAAAAAATCTACAATAATTGGATGTAGTGAGTGAGTAATTGGTCATCATCCTGTCGCCGTACTGCACAGTTGCACCGAGAGGGATGTACTGCATGTGGGTGTAAAATGTTTTGTAAAAACTCAGACTATAGTAGAGTTTTATGTTCAGAGTTAGACATTCATTCAAAATGTAATGTTCTTCAGCGAGTTTGAAACATCTGCTTAACCTAAATTTTTCATTCAGTATGTTTCTTACATTAGCCTCCTAGGTCCTGACCTCTAATCCATTATCTAGACCGATTATTTCTGAAAAAGTGAAAAGAAAACCAGCCCCCTCCTGGAAAAAGGAACAAAATAAAATAATAATAAATAAATTTAGTCAGACACACACCTCACATATCCGTACTGGGACAAAGGAAAGGGGAAGAAAAAAACAAACAAAACAACATGATAATAATAAATTCAAGGGGAAGAAAGTAAGATAGAGATTAAGTACGTTTATTGTATCAGTGCATAATAAATAAAGTCTAAAACGTTATGGTTCGTTTTCTCTCTCGTCATCCATGACAGAATTTATCCTCCATGTGTTTTAAGACCGGGTTCCACGTACTGTAGAAACGTTTGTGGGATCCCATGATTGAAGACCTTTTTTTTTCGAGATGTATACATTGTGGGACTTCTTGCAGCGAACTATTAGTTGTTGGAGGACTTTTTTGTTTCCATTTGAGGAGGATTTGGCCTCTAGCCAAAAGAGTAGTAAAGGCACATTTTGTAGTTAGTGGCACATTCAAGGGTGAAAAAAGGCCAAACAGAGCAGTTATTGGATTAGCCAGTATACTAATTTTTTGACAGTATTGAAAAAATATCAGACCAGTACTTAAAAAGCTTCGGACAAGCCCAGAATATGTGTCCGTGATCTGTTGCCGAGTTTCTACACCTAGGACAGGCATTTGACACATCTGGATGTCTTTGTGCTAGTTTTGCATTCGTAAGATGCGCTCTGTAAGTTACTTTGAATTGCATCAAAGCATGTCTCGCACAGATGGATGAGGTGTTTATCATTTTAGTTTATTTCCATCCATTGAATTTTAATGGCCAGGTCACAGAATTAATCTTTATATAAATGAGGGAGGTCAGATGTTTTTCAGACCATTGGTGGTTAGTTAGTTCGTCAATGTTAGTTTCTGGTGGACGGTTAGTGAGGGAATTGTTTTTGAATGAAATTACGGATTTGTAAATAATGGAAAAGGTGTTTGGAGGGTAACTTAAACTTTGTGCGTTGTGTCTGATCACACAGATCCTTTAAACAACAGATCCTTTAAACAACAGGTCATTTGCTGACCAATTTGCAAAAGCCTGGTCTGAACCAGGTTAGAATAGATGGTTATTATAAATTGGAGCATTGAGAGAGGCCCCCAATAAGCCAAACTGCTTTCTAAACTGAGTCCAAATCTTTAGTGTGCGTATTATCACGAAGTGGTGGGAAATGTCGCGAGGTTTAATTGAAATATTTGAGCAGATTATTGAGTGTAAGGAGAAAGTGGATGATCCTGTCTCTGTTTGGAGCCATGGTAGGCTAGGGTCCGAAGGTTTATAGCTTGTCCAATATATGATTTTATGAATATTTGAAGCCCTATAATAATGTCAAAAATTAGGAAGCGCTACCCCCCGGATGATTTAGGCATCTTTGCCAACACGTGCTGGTTTGCCACCCCATATAAAACAGTTTGTTAACTTATCTAGACTTTTGAAGAAAGATTTGTTTATATAGACTGGTACATGTTGGAAAAAGTATAGGAACTTCGGAAGCACCGTCATTTTTATCAAGTTTACACAACCTAAAATAGAAAGCAAAATCACATTTACATTTTTCCAAAAGGGGTTCGAAGTTATTATGGAATAATGAATTAAAATTGTTTGTAATATTGATCCCTAGATATTTAAAGCTGCCATCTGCTAGTTTAAATGGAAAAAGTGTTTGAGGAAGTTTTTTTGCCAGGTCATTTACCGGGAAAGGTTTGCTCTTTTGAATATTGAGCTCATATCCTGACAGTTTCCCGAATTGAGAAAGAATTGCTAAAATGGGCTGAAGGAATGTCTCCGGGCTAGACATGTACAGTAGAAGGTCGTCGGCATATAGTGACAGTTTGTGAATCTGACCATGCCGTTTTATGCCCTGAAAATCATTATTGCTGCGGAGCCATAATGCTAAAGTTTCAATTGCTAAATTAAATAATAATGGTGACAGGGGGCAACCCTGGCGTGTGCCGCGCTGAAGGGTGAATTGCGGTGAATGGGTATTGTTAGTGATTACTGAAGCGGTGGGGTGAGCATACAAAAGTTTTATCCAAGCGATGAAGTTAGAGTCAAAGCCAAATTTCTCCAATATAAAGAATAAGTATCTCCACTCTATCAAACGCCTTTTCGGCATCTAGCGAAATAATAACTTCGGGGTGTTGGAAGATGGGAAGGAGATAATATTCAGAAAACGTCTTGTGTTGAAAAAAGAGTGCCTATTGGTAGTAAATCCAGTTTGGTCTGGTGGTAATAGTGTGGGGATAACTGTTACAATGTTATACACAAAAAACCTACATTTTTGTGTATAACATTGTAACAATACAATTACAATCTATTCTTGTATAGCCCTAAATCACAGCAGCAGACATCTCAGTGGACTTAACAAAACCATTGAATCACCAACACAGATCAGAGAATCAACAGTTATACATATGTAAGACCAATGTCCATGAATGTTGATAAAAGTCCATAGATGTTGTAGAATGTTAAAGTGTCCTGGATCACCACCACAGTCCTTCTTGTTAAACACCAACTGCCCAACAGACCCTCCTGCATCGGCAAAGAAAAACTCATAAGAAAACCCAGCGGGAAAAAGTGAGAAACCTCGGGGAGACCCACATTGAGAGAGGGAGCTGCTCCTACACGGACGGACGAGCTATAGATCCAAAACCTAAGCTACAGAACGAGGACCAAGGCCACGCTGCGGCCCCAGAACATGGACAGGTCCGGTGCAGGACTGAAGCAGCTCCCAGGCGGGTCGGGCAGGGCAGTCCGCAGGTGTAGATGGAGGAGGCCAGGTTCAGAGGTCCCGTTGTTGCGTCATAAAACAGACAATGGGACAACTGGTAAATAGCAATGAACAGACAGTCAAAACCCTAATAATGCAAAACAGATAAAGTAGGAAGGAGGACAGGATAGTGCTTCTCCCAGCAAACTGACTCTCTATGCAGGTTGACTGGCGGTCTTAGGAGTTTAGCCTTCCTAGCCATATGCTAAGGACTGTTTTAAGCTTGGCCTGTAGAGACCATGTTCTTGTTTGTATTTTTGTTGTTGTTGTCATTGACTATTAACCTGAGACATTAATATTGGTGGTTTTTAAGGAATGTTTTTTATGGAATGTTTATGTCCTGGACCTATGTGACCGTTTGTTATTTAGTCCCTGTTTGTGCAGCACACAAGGAAAAAATGTGTTAATTTTTGATAGTCAAATCTAAAATAACTTCCTCCTATGTGTTGGCCACGTGTGCATTCTATATGGCCCACCATAAATCGCCTCCACAAAACAACATCTTTATAACATGTATGACACAAGAAAAGAAAAAAAAAGAAAAAATCCAAAAGAAAGGTTTATTACAATACAAAACAGCCTCTCTCCACTGCTGCTCATTCCTTTTTATGGCAAGCCTTTCGATTTAAATGTATAGCTTCACAAAAAGAGAAGAGAAGAAGCACTCAAATCCACATAACAAACAACAGAGAAAAGTATCAAAGCAGATCAGAATCTTTCTCTTTCAGCCCATGAGCTTTGGATTTGGAAAGTTCTTTACTCTGACGGCAAACTAAAAATCCAAACAAATCCAAACTAAAAGGCATATAAAACAAAAACAGACACAAACCTACAGAAATATTGTTATTGTTTTTCTTGAGGTTTTGAAGAGAGAATGTGTTTGTGGATTGAGAGTCTTCAGCAATCCCATTACTGTAACAAAGTCTATACATTTATCAATTCAATCCCAGCCAAACGCAAAATCAATCAAAGTTTATTTGTAGAGCGCCTTTCCAACACAAGGCAACACAAAGCGCCTCACAACCCCATATCACATCAGGCATAAATCATAGATTAAAATCCACATAAACATTGACAAAATATGTTGCGTTTTGCACTCAATTCAACTACTGTATTCAACTGTATTATTTGTTTATGCAAAAAAAAAAAAAAAAAAAAAAGTAAAATCAGTGTCTACTTCAAGCGATGTTTCTACATATATCCTTTGGACTCTAGCTCCAAGGACCTCAGACCCCACTTTGGGAAGCATTGAACACATTTGGGAACAGGTTTTTGTCATTTGCATCGAAGTATCATGGATCACACGGTGGGCAGTGTTCTCGTTCCTGTCCACTATAAAAGCAGCGTTCATCTTCCTCCTACAGAATGCTGGTCCTGGTCCTGGTCCTCAGCCTGGGATTCCTTGGCTCAGGTATAAACTATACATAAACTATATTCAATATTATATTCAATAGATATTCTCTCCTGCAATTTTGTTTAATCAAATGGTAGTTTGGTAATGTCCATGTTGAATCTTCTCCTGTTAAAACTTCTCATAAACAACCACTAAAGTACATTCTTAGCCACATCATAACTGAATCTGAGGCAGGTCAAAAAAAAAAAAAAAATCTTTTCTGTATTACTATTGTAGTGAAAATTGCCACACTACTATAAGTCAAACTATAAATTCTGTGTTTTTCTTTCTCTATCAGTTGGAGCACTCACTTGTAAGCCAAACAATACATGTTCAGATGGGGAGAAATACTACGTCGCGAACATCACAGGTGACTTTTGTGAATTAATCACTCAATGGAACCAAAATAGGTTGAAATACGGAAGCCAAACAAGTCAAATGGCATTATTTATCTCTGTGATATTTATAAGCGACTGTTGTAAACATATATAAGTACTCTTGCATGTGACTGTTATTTGTGAATTTTCCCTGATGTCATATAATAATGGTGTCCGTACATTTGCAGGAAATACGATCCTGAAGGACATAGCGCCTGAAGGCTGTATCTCCTCCAAGGTTTGTCAAGTCGCGGGAAAACCATTCTCTCTCACCACAAACAACTGCAGTGAAACTGCAAAGTTGACATGCTGCAACACTTCTACCGTCCCTGGTAAACAGTTTATGTTCCATCAAACCATAGTGGAGCAGTCCACAGCTGTATGTGTGTTGTTTGTGCCCTGCAGCCCCCTCTCTGTCACCTGGGACTCTGCGATGCTGTGGGGACGCCACCTGCAACTCAAAGATAAAATGTAACACGGCGGAGACCATATGCGTCCAGATTAATATCTGTGAGTCTTAAAGATAAAATATGTTGTACTTTTATTGGACATAAGAAATATTATAAGATTGTTTATTTAGTAATTTAAAGTTTTTGTATGTGAAATAATATTGTCAGTTGAAAATAAATGGAGGGTATAAAAATGTCATTGGCCTGCCCTATTCCTATGCTACCACCAGAGGGAGATGTAGAAGTTTATTGTTTTTTTTTCCAAACTGGAAAACTACAGGCTGCAGCCACAAAGAACGGAATTTCACTTGAAAAAAATCCCAGTTAATGAGAGTGATGTCATAGTAGTGCAGTGAGATCATACTACTACAGAACTGAGGCAGAAGGGGCGGAGCTACATGTTTGTGCCATAAGTTCCTGATTTTATCGTGGATGGATCTAATGAACAACTTCAGATCTGTCTTTAGTGAAAATAATGATTGTAACAGGATGATTTAGCATAAAGTAGAATTGTAAACTGGTTGGCCACCACATCATGCTTTTACCTGTGTCTTTTTCAGCCTCCCAGCCTCTAATTCACGCCTGTGCTACTGACAACATCTGCGATACTGATTTTCTTTCCAACTCAACCTGCAAGAAGGTGGCGGCAGGAGCGCCCACTCACCTCAGCATTTGGTCGTTTCATTTTCTGCTGATCATGATCACCTTAATCACATTTTAAATATTACAGAAATGTCGCTATATTCTTGTGCATTTGATTGAGTTAATATATGTTCTATTGTAAATGTATCCACTGTGACATCAATAAAGTCTATTTTATCTTATCTTATCCAACTTACAAAATCAAGAAAAAAAATATAAAGGAAAATAAAACAGGTGTGAATGAGTGTTATTTACAATTTATATATGAATAAATAAATACACCATATTAGCAACTGACAGATGCAGATATGTAGCCTGGACAAGTTTGGAGGCAAGACCATTCACAGTAGATAAGATAAGATAAGATCGACCTTTTTTTTGTCCCAGAGTGGGGAAATTCCAAAGTCATTATTATTCCCCACAATCCCAGTGTCTTAATACGTAGCCTCCTACTATGTTAGGCTTTAAAAAGTTATATATTTGGAATTTAAATAGTTAGATCTGTCTATACTGCCAATATAACATAATCAGATTTGTTTTGTACTGCAACGTGGTGCAGATATATTTACTAATGACTTACAGTATTTTCACGTGTGGCTGTTGGCAACTCACTCAAAAAACAAACAAAAAAACACAGGATGTACAGGTGAAAGTTAAATTTTTTTTTTCAAAAGTCTATTTACTTCTGCAGCTTTTAAACCCCCAAAAAACGTTTCATGAACATCATAACAAAGAAAGGCGTGTGTCACTTTGCCTGTAATGCGTCTCATCATCGTTATGAGTTTCATCTATAATCATGATCCCAGCAGGTCAAACTTAAAGCTTGGGAGTGCTTCAAATTACAACATGAAACTAATTCCTAATTTTGTTTTGAACTATTTTCACATTTGTGTATTTTTTCACATCAATATCCCTGCACTTTACAATCGTCATATTTATAAATTAGAATCATGTTTTACTTTGTTATAACTTGTTTCCACCATATGCCAAATCAAATTTCTCTTTTTTGACATCCTGTTATTTACAGACAATAAAAATAATTCTGAGTCTGACTCTGAACTTCCATGTGTGACTGAAGATGGCTGCATTTTATATTCAAATGAGTCAAAAAATAAAAGATAAATCCATTCAAACAATTACGTAGAAATAACCTACATTAAATGTCTCACAGTTCGGAAGACCAAAACGTCCATAAGCTGAGTAATCACACTTCCAAAAACCAAAACCCGTCCAATTGACTGGTGGGAGTTCAAGTTGTTAGGTTGCTTTGAGTTTGCAGGGGAGACGCGCAAAGACGCGCATGCATTGGGGCAGGACCAGCTGAAGACAGTGGGAGGGCAATGGGAGGGTTCGGGGGAAGTCAGGTAGTTTGCGCTTGGGGGAAATTGGGCAGTGGGTTCTATTGCCAGACAGTGGGTAAACGAACGGAACATCAACCCGCGGGACGCACGTACGCAGCAGACGCACGCTCCAGACAGACGCACATGATGAGAGGCTGCGCGAGCCGGACCAAGAGCGCACACTTCCTGAGCCAAGACGGTAGGTCCAGCCGCACATTATTAGCGTTCAGACAGGCTGCAGCGGGGTACAACTTCTACACATGGATGTTATTGGGGACGTAAACAAGGGGAGACGGAAGTGCGTGTATGAGACCTTTCCCCCACTTACCCACAACTGCTTTTCTCAGTCCCTTAAACATGTTATAGTCAAAGACATTATGTGCGCATGCTTGTGTGTTATAACTTATTTTTATTCTCCAATAGTTGGCTAGTCTATGCTCACGTCTGGCTAGGCTGTTGCTCATCCCCATGTCATTACGCGCGTGCCCTACAGTGTGTTTACATGTGCTTGTGAATATTGCAGTTGTTTTTCGCACCGTCATAAAATAGACATAACTTCTAAAACTCATTATGAAGATGCGATATGAAAACATTATAAACTAACAGCTGCTGCTCTGGAAGGAGAAAGAGACATGTTTGATATATAGTAGATGGCACGCAGCCTTTCTATATTTGTCCTGTGAGATAAAGGCAGTGTGCGCTCCTGAGTGAATATTTTTAGGTTTGAACCTAACTAAACTGAAGTCAGTGCCATTTGTGGATTGACCCTGATAAATAATAGTCCACATTGAGACAGGATCATCTTAATGATACAAATAAAATAATAATATCATGGTCACGCTTCATCTCTTGCTGCAGACATGGTCATTAGCATCCAGGTGTTTCATTCCTTAAAACACATTGGGATGAAATTAAATCTTGTCATACTGTGGTCAACTCTGTTAAAACAATAACATATCCACGGAAACAGAATTTTCCAGAAAAGTTCCATAGATCATCTTTATAAGATCCTTCCATCACAGTACTAACCGGGCCCTGCACTGCTTAGCATCACAGGTCTTATGGGATCTGTCTAATACACATGGTGGTGTTGTTCTGTTCACACCCCGTCTTTTAGAGTTAAACATGCAAAGTAATATTGTATGTTTATTCGTGTTTATATTCCCTGTTTAGCAGAGTAATGCATAGATGCAGACCTTATCACAAAGACGACAGACCAGAGATATGCTGTCTCCTCCCGATGCTTCCCCCCAGTGTTGTGCACGCAGAAGTACACACTAGTACGAAATAGAACCTGTCCACTACAATGTTGAAAATATGACCCAGGCTAATTTTATAGACCCATGTCACCCAACTATATCGCCACAAAGTCTGTTAAAAATGAAAAAAACAAAAACAGATGTACGGACATAACTTTTTTTTTGCTGGTTTACGTCTGTCGTCATTACGGCGTTCGCGTGTCTTGTGGCAGACTGTATCTGCGTCTGAATAAAGACAAATGCCTCCTTTATTGTGCTTTAAGATTGACTTTTTGTGCGACCGTGATGCTGTAGGTTTTGTTAAGTGAATTTAGCGTCTTAAAATGATATTTGGATGACTCTTTGGACATTTTCATGCCACAAATGTTATAAAAAGTTAGTAGCATCAAAGACAAGGAAGGAGAGCTTTTCAATGATTTCGGACGCGGCTCGGATCACCTGAGTGAAGCGGCAGACAGCAGTTTGTGTGCTCATCTTCATCCACGGACACACTCCTCACCATCACACTCCTGCTCCATCCCGGACCCCACCGTTCCACGCATGAAACACCGCTCACTTCCAGAACAGAACCCCGGGAAAAGGGCCCGAACTCCCGCCGATAGCCCTACGGTCCCCTCTCCAGAAGCCATGGCTGACACGGCGCCGACAAACCCGCGGGAACTCACCCAAAACCCACTAAAGAAGATTTGGATGCCCTATAAAAACGGCCTTCCCGAAAACCACATTTCTCAAAGAAAGGGTGTGTATCACAACAATGTTAGCTTTTGTTCGTCTTTCAATTTAGCTGCTAGCATGATACTGAACTGTCAGAGGCATGTTCAGAGTGCTACATCTTATAAAACCAAGTTATTTTTTCAGCCACGTGTGATGGGGAAACTACATGTCTTAGATTCCCATAAAATAATAAAGCATCGTGGATCGTGGAGTTCAAATTTCTTGTGCAGCCATCTGGTCCTCTTGCGTAATGTGCCGCTCCATCACAGCGGCAGAGGGCACTGGTACCCTACTTTATTGTGAAATTACTGTTTGGCTTATATAAAAAACATAATTTTATATGAACTGATATAGATAATACATTGCACATTTGTAATAATGCATACCTAATAATATTAATATTATTATGTATGCATGTATATATTTTGACAATTTAACATTGTCATGCGTATTATGTTTTGTATTAAAAAAATGTGTTAACATTTGTTGCAGAAGCTGTTTGACATTAGCGATATAGTGTTACATATCCATGAAAATAGAAACAAAGAAAATAGGTTTTGTTTTAACAGAACTATTTTCATGAAGGATCTCTGCCTCTAACTTAAAGTAGAAAACTCTAGTGTTCTACTTGTCTATATTCTATGAATATGTAGACGCATAGTAAGAATTTAATTTTATTCAACTGAACTTTTATCTAAAAGATTACTATGGAATCCCGTCCATTTACTGTAGCTAGTTCCGTGCTCTTATAACAGTGGTTTTATCATTAGTTTTCACGTGCTTATATGTTTTAGCCTTTTTCTCAACATTTAAACAAAATGCATTATTTATGAAAAAGATAATGATGGGCAGCCCGGCTTTGATGACTGAATAAAAAAGTACGTTTTGCCTTTTGTAGGGTCTTGGAACAGTTGATAGAACAGCGACTGCATTTGTAACCTACTGAAAAGCTTTGACCACATCTTCTTTCTTTCTTTCTTTGCAGTATGCATGACCAACTGTCCCACTTTGATTGTTACTGTGGGCCTTCCAGCCAGAGGGAAGACCTACATCTCCAAGAAGCTGACCCGCTATCTCAACTGGATTGGAGTACCAACTAAAGGTATACTTTTCCACAAAACAATATATTAAAATGTATTAATACATTTACAAACACATATAATATGATTATTATTAATCATTCTACAGAATTCAATGTCGGGCAATACAGGAGAGACTTTGTGAAGAGCTACAAGTCCTTTGAGTTTTTTCATCCAGACAATGAGGAGGGTGTGAGGATAAGAATGTAAGGCAGTTTAGCTTTAGCCATAATCATTTAAAAAAAAAAAATGATACACATTATTTGACTTTGTAGGCAATGTGCATCAGCTGCTTTGAACGATGTGCGGCAGTATCTCACAAGTGGAGGACAAGTGGCTGTACGTATACATGTGGTCAGGTGGCAAAATCAACTATTAACAATATTTATTTATTTGATTACATTTTCATCCACTTGCGGTAGGTTTTTGATGCAACAAACACGACCAGGGAAAGAAGAGATACAATTCTCCAGTTTGCCGAGCAGAACGGTTTTAAAGTGTTCTTTGTGGAGTCTGTGTGTGAAGATCCAGATGTTATACAAGAAAACATAGTTGTGAGTGACTGTACATTGGGTCTATTGTGTACTTTTTATTTCATTATTATTATTCTTTTTAATCAGCAAGTCAAACTCGGAAGTCCAGATTACACCAACTGTAACTCAGACGAAGCAGTGGAAGACTTTATGAAGAGAATCAAATGTTATGAAAACTCCTATGAACCACTGGATGAAGCCTTGGATAGGTGAGTAATAAGTAGATAAATATTATACATACACATGTAAGACTCTCATACAATTAGCTTTACTTAAAGCTGAGTACATCACTTTTAAACAACAAAAAAGGAAGTATGTAATTAAAACTAGTTCCTGTTTCTACAACAATTTGGTTCACTAATTATTAACATGCTTGTATTTTTGACCTCTGTCTCAGTTTTAGATCATCTTTTTTAGACAGAATCTGTTTAGACAAGCCTATTCACTATCACCATAACTACTGTTGTGGAACTACATACCCCAATAAAGGAAAAAGCTGGAAAGGTATTTGTCTTAAATCAAAGATGTAAACACATTTATTTTACACATATATATGCGGAGAGCCACATACAGTCTTGCATCGTGAGCTCTCCCGGGGCCAGTCCCAGGTCCCCGTTTACATAGGCAACACATGAAAGACAGTCACGCCCACAAAAGGTGGGAGGGGTCACAGTTTGAGACGGGCATCCAGATGGCGGGGCGCCTTGCCTGGTGAGAGACAATCTTTGTGCCATGGAGATGCAAACAGAAGGGACAATAGACATGCAGAATGTAAAAGGGGCAAAGGTGAGATAGTAATTTGCGTCATGTCTGTCAATGCAGGGGGGAGACCGGTTCCTTCCTGCAGGTTAATTGAATAGAACAGCGGGGGGTGAGTTGGCGTCCTTGAGGCTAACCAACTTGCCATAACACTCCTCTCCCGTGATAATGTAGAAACCCCAGTTTTACAGAAATCACATTCAGGTGGGTGAGTTTTGACCTTGGTCCCTGAGCAAAACAAGAGTTGTTGATGGACAGGCTACGCTGCCGTCACCCAAGCCTCTTGTATTACGAGGGTGTGGTCAAAGCTCTTCACTGTGATACCCTCCCCCTAAATTGTAGGCGGAACAAGTGGAAAAATAAAAACAAGGTAAACAAAAAAAGACAAACGTTAGACAAAGTCGTCGTCCGAATCGCTGATATAATCAGGATCGGGGTTCAGTGGGACAGCGGCCAGGTCCGCCTCAGGGTCTTTGTATTGAATGGACACAAAGTGAGTGGATATCATTTTACCAACGGCCCGAAACACCATAGGTAATACACATGAAAATAAAATCATAACAGTCAATAGGGCTAAACCAAGATTAATGAGCACACTTCGCCAGGAGGACAGGAGCCAGTCCAGACCGTGGGGAGTGTCCGTGACATTGTCCGCTTGCATGGCGTCCCGGAGTCTAGTCAGATTGGCTATGCCCTGTTGGATAAGACCTCCGTCCTCATCATTAGCCGGAATATATGTACAGCAGGACGACCCAATGATCGTGCATACGCCTCCCACAGACGCGGTCAGGTGGTCCAGGAACAACCGGTCCTGAAGAACAACGGCACGTAGGTCGTGAAGTTCAACTCTCTGTGATTCAAGTATGGCCACTGTGGTATTGACAAAACCTGAGAACCTATAGCTCAGGGTCTCCGTCCTTAGCATTAGTTTACCTACAAATGTTCACGAGCGTTCAGGGGCACCGCTCCCTCTGAGCGTGTGTGAAGCGTTAGTGGTCATGGCGATGTTCGGTCTTGGAGCGGCAAGACCCTAATCGCGTTGGGGCTTTGGCCTCGGCACTTCTGAGAGGAGCGAGAGCAGAGCAGAGGGAAAGAGTGTTTTTTCTTTTACTCACGAGGTCTTCAGTACCAGAGAAGTACTTGGTCTGGTACTGGCTCACTCAGAATCAGAGGAGGAAGACACGCAGGTGTCCAGTGAAGCAGACACGGACATTATTGGTGACGGGGAGACCGCGCTCCATAGTCCACAATCAGCCCCTGTACAGCGGCTGCTTGTCCTCCGTGTGGCCGCGGTAGAAGCATTCTGTGAACGCCAAGCAGGGGCCGTGGTGGAGGGGACAGGGGCATCATAACACCGGGCATGTGGGAGAAAGTAGCGGGGGTAGACATCCACGGGGAACACGGGAGACGCGGGAGAAGTCGCGGGAGAGCCGCGGGAAAAAGACACATCGCTAATCGCGTTCACTGCCTCAGCGATAATGAGGATAAAGGCAGTTCTTGAGAGAAAATAATCCACAAAAGTGGACCAGAAGTGTTGAAGAGCCTGTTGTTTCTTGTTGAGACGATCTGACAAGTTCTGCGCCCATTCATTTCATCTCTCGGTTTCTAAACGGTAAATCCTGGAGCCTCATTTCCACTGAGAAAAATAGTAAGCCCACTACTTCTCTGAAAGGGAAATATTGAAACCAATCTCAAGATTTCATGACTGTAAACTATAAAGAGTGCTGTCTTGATCACTGAAGGTCTTTGAAAATAATACAATTCCATATGGCCGCGAACCAGTGCTAAAACATTATGTATAATCTGGATCAGGGAATTTATTTCTATCCCAAATTCATTTCATACTAAAGATATTTCACATTGACTGTTTATAGTATTCCCTGGTCTCAAATAACTCCCAAGCTACAGCTTTTTGAAGTCTTTATACAATAATTAACATTTTACAAAATGGCCGCCACCTTGATGACGTCACCATATACAAATTAGATGACGAATCAACTTCCATCCCAAAGTTTGGTTCAAACTGAAGATATTTCTAATTTACAGTATGCCTTTATCTCAAACCATTTTAAAGTTATAGCCTTTTGAAATCTTGAAATCAAAATTGTATATTTTCTTGAAAAAACTCTGGCGCCTAAAGGGTTAAGATAATTTGTTTCACATTTTTCAACTTTTGTTAATAAATAATATGAACACATTTTCAAATGTATTTATTATTTGATTTATTAATGCATTTATCATGAGGTATTGAGTGTGGGTCACATTTTTGCTCAGGCCACTAATTGTGTTTGATGTGGTAAATATCTGGCAAACATTTGGCCCTAATGAGGTTCAGATGTGGGCCACATCTGGCATACGAGTTAGAATCATGCTATCGCCGGACATCCACGCGGTATGTGGGCCAAATCTGGGCCACGATGAGAAAGCTGGTTGTGGCAGAGCGTAACTGGGCCGGATGTGGGCCAGAGATGCCCCGTCTCTGGCCCGTGCTCGGGCCACTTGTGTTTGATGTGGTAAATATCTGGTAAACATATGGCCCTAATAAAGTTCAGATGTGGGCCAAATCTGGGAGCGGAACTGGGCCGGATGTGGGCCAGAGATGCCCCGTCTCTGGCCCGTGCTCGGGCCACTTGTGTTTGATGTTGTAAAGATTTGGTAAACATATGGCCCTAATGAGGTTCAGATGTGGGCCACATCTGGGAGCGGAACTGGGCCAGATGTGGGCCAGAGATTCCCCGTCTCTGGCCCGTGCTCGGGCCACTTGTGTTTGATGTGGTAAAGATCTGGTAAACATATGGCCCTAATGAGGTTCAGATGTGGGCCACCTCTGGCATACGAGTTAGAATCATGCTATCGCCGGACATCCACGCGGTATGTGGGCCAAATCTGGGCCACGATGAGAAAGCTGGTTGTGGCAGAGCGTAACTGGGCCGGATGTGGGCCAGAGATGCCCCGTCTCTGGCCCGTGCTCGGGCCACTTGTGTTTGATGTGGTAAATATCTGGTAAACATATGGCCCTAATAAAGTTCAGATGTGGGCCAAATCTGGGAGCGGACCTGGGCCGGATGTGGGCCAGAGATGCCCCATCTCTGGCCCGTGCTCGGGCCACTTGTGTTTGATGTGGTAAAGATTTGGTAAACATATGGCCCTAATGAGGTTCAGATGTGGGCCACATCTGGGAGCGGAACTGGGCCAGATGTGGGCCAGAGATGCCCCGTCTCTGGCCCGTGCTCGGGCCACTTGTGTTTGATGTGGTAAAGATCTGGTAAACATATGGCCCTAATGAGGTTCAGATGTGGGCCACCTCTGGCATACGAGTTAGAATCATGCTATCGCCGGACATCCACGCGGTATGTGGGCCAAATCTGGGCCACGATGAGAAAGCTGGTTGTGGCAGAGCGTAACTGGGCCGGATGTGGGCCAGAGATGCCCCGTCTCTGGCCCGTGCTCGGGCCACTTGTGTTTGATGTGGTAAATATCTGGTAAACATATGGCCCTAATAAAGTTCAGATGTGGGCCAAATCTGGGAGCGGAACTGGGCCGGATGTGGGCCAGAGATTCCCCGTCTCTGGCCCGTGCTCGGGCCACTTGTGTTTGATGTGGTAAAGATCTGGTAAACATATGGCCCTAATGAGGTTCAGATGTGGGCCACATCTGGCATACGAGTTAGAATCATGCTATCGCCGGACATCCACGCGGTATGTGGGCCAAATCTGGGCCACGATGAAAAAGCTGGTTGTGGCAGAGCATAACTGGGCCGGATGTGGGCCAGAGATGCCCCCTCTCTGGCCCGTGCTCGGGCCACTTGTGTTTGATGTGGTAAAGATCTGGTAAATATATGGCCCTAATGAGGTTCAGATGTGGGCCACATCTGGCATACGAGTTAGAATCATGCTATCGCCGGACATCCACGCGGTATGTGGGCCACATCAACACCTGTGTTGTGGGCCACATCTGGGCCACAACAATTTTGCTATCTGGGGTAGCTCTACAATTATCTTAGTGTGTAAACAAGGGTGGAATGACACTTTCTGGTGTGTAAACTTTTGCTTTAAGCAGCAATGACAACTGTCATTTTTTTGTGTGTGACAAGTGAGCTGTCAATCACAGCCCAGACCACGCCCAACTCTAAGCCCCCCTTCTTGTCCCTTGGTCCTCCAGGCAACGCCCTTTTAAGAGAACATTTTCAAATGTTCATGTGGGCGGAGTAAGGCTGGTCACAATGTGTTTAGTCGCTCTTTAAACTCAGTTCTACGACTGCTGAAAGACCTGCTGCTGGAGAAGCTCCCCTGATTGAATCCACCAATGCACTCACACTTTTTGTATATTGCACTGGGAATACATTTTAAAACGTGGACCACCGAGACTGCATAATAAATTCACCAGGGCTACACAGGACATATTCCATACACCTCGATAATAATAAAACGGCTCGTCCTCTGCTGTCATTGAAC